CACAATGTTTGAAGGCATCTGCTTCCTACAATAGTCAGTAACTAACAAACCCATCATACAAACTACAACAATAACATTCATCTTCCTGAGGCAAGGGAGTTAACTGATTATGCAGGTCCAGTTTCCACCCTTGCCTAACTTGGCATAGTCCAATCAAAATTGTGTAACGACACTGTTGTGCAGATTTCAGTCAATTGCAGGATTTGCAAAGTATATGTACCACCAACTTAGCGTCAACAGATATTTTCCAAATCTTTTCATCTGTTTAATCAAGGTGCTCACATGATTTGATGCAGTTTGCGAAGTAAGACCCGGTTTATTACAATAGTTAGTCTTGACTGGGCATCGCCATTTTATTTGAAACAAATGCAAGTTATTAGAGAGGTGGAATCATTAGGAGGGTCGTAGAATGGACATAACTTGTAATTGCCACTGGTTGTGCTAGAATCAAGCCCAGAAATTCCAGCCTAGTTCGGCAAGGGTGGAAGCTTGACTTTTATAGTCAGATAACTCCCTTGCCCCGGGAAGATGAGCTAACACTTCACAAACTGTTCTTTTGATCTAACTCTAGATCTAACTAAAGGATTGACCATAAAGGTTCTTAATCAAGAGAGGAAACAATTGAAACATAGAGACAAACTGTAAATGAGGTGCAAAATAACTAAAAACAACACAATTTCAAGATCATGTTACAAATGAATGACTGCTAACAGATGACTAATGATGAAATCTCAAAATATACCAACCAAAGATGACAGGTTTAACATAAACGAAAGAGACACCCCAAGGACATACCTGTTACCTTATGCAAGTCCAGTGAAAACAAAGTGGCAGATGGATCACCACATGATTGATTACACTGCATAACCTTACCTCGCTTATCAATAGCATGTCACCATATCGAGACAAAAATAAACTCACCCGCCAAAGCTGTACTATACCCCGTGTACACATACTCGGGTGTGTTATGTAGGAGTGTGAGAACAGTATTGCAGTTAATATTCATATTCATTGCTGTCACAGATCAGCCCTCGATGTGAACCAGTGAACAGCATCACAATACAACCTGGTACAATGTTAATGTATTCAATGTTTCCATTCATTTACATCACATTAACTTGAAGTCCAATGCACTTAAAAGCATGAGCTTTGCTAAATACATGATGCATTACTACATGATGCTGTGGTTTCCTCCTTGTAAAATTCACATAAACATATATATACCATATTTTCTTGAGTATAGTGCCCACCCATGTATAATGCGCACCCCCCTCTAGCGGGTTCAATATTTTGAAAAAATAATAATTCGAATACCAAGCGCAGAAATAAAATTACACCGTACCCCTTTAGCGAAGTCCGGTAAACGAACGGGTGATGAGAAACTTGGTCAGTACAAATTCGAAATTTGAGATAAAAAATCACCAGACATGTTGATTTACCGTTTAAATTTTTTGTTCTGCTAGGTATTGTTTTATATCCAGGGATTAAGATTACCTTGTGTATTTTCTCGTAAACTAAGCCGGACACAGCAATCAGCTGTACACACGTTTTCTTGGAATCTACGGTGATTCTGTCAAGACACACCCAATGATATAACTTTAAAGGATTTTAATGCAAGGATTGGCAAAAATTGTATCTGAAACTATTTTTTTATCAGGAATAATATATTCCAATATCTTGTTAATTTAGATGCAGCTTTTACTAAACATATTTAAAATGATAATAACCCTAAGCGAAGCAGCTGATCACTATTGCCGGGTATTATTTTTTACATGGAACCAGTCTGACCAGTCTGACCAGTCACCGTCAAGGCTCCCGTGCACGTGATTGCGAGAATTACGTGTTGACATAGAATCGTCCAACAAAAACAAATATGACTTTTAACGAGTCACAGTATGGCATTTATGATATATGTATCCATTCTCTGTCAACTAAAGTTTGTTTCAAGGCATCAATAGCAGTAATCTGACCGTGGTTGCTGTTAATAACGGTGAGTTGTGCGATCTTCCGATCGCTTCACACACGATTGCGCCGAAATTAATTAAAACAATATTAAAAGGAATTTTGAATAAAATTAATAAAATAAGTTTCAAACATAAGTCCACTTTTTATAGCCAGACAGTGTAATTACATGACTTATTTGCGTACTTCAGTATGGATTTGTTGACATGGTATTTCCGGTGTTACGTGCTCACGGTAATGTCTTTCGATGGGGGAAAAAAGATCAAAACTCATTAATTCGTGTATAATGCGCACCCCCTTCTACACAGCTGTGTTTTGTTTGGAAAAAAGTGCGCACCATACTCGAGAAATTACGGTAGTCTACTACTTCAGCCACCAGTCTGAAGCCTAAATAGTGTAATATTCTGTTTGATCAAGTCAACTCAGGTCATAATGGTCTATAATATTACAATAAAATCTACTGGTGCGAGAAGCAAAGTTTGGGCTCATAGACTCAACATTTTGGCACAGATCCCATACACATTCTGTGACTGCAGCCACACGCTCTAAGCAGAAACTAGTAATTTCTTTAAGTCTACTGATTGGGTGGGTGAATGTTGTTTTATGCCCGACCAGCACTGTTACTGATGACCTATACCGGTCTGCAATATTACCTTTGATCAACACTATGTCAAGAATAACTGGTAATGGATATTAAAACAGATGGAAAAAGTCACTTAATACGGTAATGTCAAAAAGCGTGTGGCACTCATATATGAGACAACTGTTCAATTACAACATCCCCTCTGTAGATGGGATGCAGCAGGCTGAAGCTTTTGCCCTTTGTTCAGCAACATTTCTTTATGTGAGTAAGCTCAGGTAATGGCAATCCATAAGCTTGGGTAAAACAGGTACTTAAAGCGATGCAGAAAACCCAATTTGTGCCTAGACAACTCAAACATTCTTTGCTCATCACATGATAAAAAGATTGAAGAAGTTGAAAAATACTATTGCATAACATACTACTAGTACTACATGATACTTATTTCATGCCACTGTCAGCTGAATTTTGACAATGGAAGGAATCTTTGAAAGCTAAAAGTATTTGATGAGTGGGTTGAATACTACTGAATACACTACAGTTACAACCTGTATTACAAGACATATCCTTGATAACCATATTACATTAAGTTATTAGAGTAAATATCAAATAATGTGACCATTGAATTATTACAAATGAGTCACAGTTCAATTCTATGATGACGAAATCAAATATTCTAAAGCTAACAAACACAGTAAAGTGAAGCAGCCTCAGGCAGTGAATTAGGGTGAGTGACGACATTACAAAACCGGTAATCAGAATTTGATGAGAAGCCAGAGGGTATGCACATGAACACTGCATGTTTCTACTGAGACAGACACAAACACCTCCACCGACATATATTGGAGGCACATGTTGCTAAAAGGAAGACAATTCACACTCAACACTGGAGTTGTCAATTGCACAGTGACAAGCTGTTTATAAACTTATTTCAGACCTGCAACAGGCCTTTGAATGCTTCAGTTCACAACACAATATTGAAATTAGTATGAAAAAGCATTATTAAAAGCTATGAAAGTTTAGAATAATACAGACTTATTTCTCTACCATTGGTATCAGATCTACAGTAGACTGATTGCAGTGCATGACCGCGTCACACTAAAGTACTTATTGGACGCTCCATGAATTCTTCTGTAAAACAAATTGATAAACAGAAGCATATTCAGTGATTGGCCAATTGGCTGATTCATAGTTGAATCAATACTAAGGATGTTGTTCTCTTCATGATGCATTTGAATGCTGAAAACATCTTACATGGACAAACAACTAAGTCATACTACATAGTGTGCTGCAACAGACAGGGCTGTCCTAAGGACTGTTGGTCTATTCAATACAGTTACACGGCAACAGGTTGACTAACTGTTGATCAGCTGTGCCAGATTCATTTCTAGAAACATCAAGGACACCACTAGGCTATCCCACCGCCCCTGTAAACTAGTAATCAATTTGAAGTGGCCTTAACACATGAAACTTAGTTTCTGAGAACACAATGACCACACCCAGTTCACACTTCGCTTCAACATGCTCTTCATGATACTGGCATTGTGGACATGAGAGTGATACTTCAATAACAGCACATCAGCCTAATTCAGAATCAGAAGCATAAGGAAATTAAATCTAAGAAGTTCATCACTTAGAAGAAACCCACAAGCACTGGTATCCTGTTGACAGACTAAAGATCATCATTGGCATGTATCTGGGATTTGAATGCACAACTAGTTGAACAAGGAGGTAACAGCACAATAATTGAGTCTCCTTTGACCACTGTGCTACCCGTAAGTCTAAAGTACCTAAACCTAAGAAGTTCGTCACTTTGGAAAATCCCACAAGCACTGGTATCATGTTGAATGATTAAGGATCATTTACTGGGATGAATCTGGGATTTGAACGCACTGGTTGATTTAAGGGGAGCAACTCTGCACAATAATTGAGTCTCCTTTGACCACTGTGCTACCCGTAAGTCTAAAGTACCTAAACCTAAGAAGTTCGTCACTTTGGAAAATCCCACAAGCACTGGTATCATGTTGAATGATTAGGATCATTTACTGGGATGAATCTGGGATTTGAACGCACTGGTTGATCTAAGGGGAGCAACTCTGCACAATAATTGAGTCTCCTTTGACCACTGTGCTACCCGTAAGTCTAAAGAACCTAAACCTAAGAAGTTCGTCACTTTGGAAAATCCCACAAGCACTGGTATCATGTTGATTGATTAAGGATCATTTACTGGGATGAATCTGGGATTTGATCGCACTGGTTGATCTAAGGGGAGCAACTCTACACAATAATTGAATCTCCTTTGACCACTGTGCTACCCATCCCCCATGTACATAAAACTTGAGAACAAGAGGGTTAGCTGGGTGCAGGAAACATCCTAACCCAGAATTCTAGGATCTGCACCATGTATACATGGCCTTGAGGTGTATATATGTGTGTTCTGCGTTGTTCAGAGCATTACCTGTCACCTTGTACTGGTCCCTCCATGTTCACCACATCACATTGTCTGAAAACAAACACAAAACCATGCAACATTCACATGCACCTTTATACTGGGATACCATTTCAGTATCCATGTGCACCACAAATAGGTTTAGATATTTCCATTGAGATTTAATTGTGCAGACAAACACAAATACTTTTGATTAACTCTGATTTGGTTTGGTTTGGATTGTTTGTTGTTTAACGCTGCACTCAGCTATATTCCAGCTAAATAGCTGGAGTCATCAGTGTGTAAATGGTAATGGTTTCATCCTCCAAACAGCTATTAATTACATCAATAACTGTATCACTCCCATGTTCCTTGGATGATACCTCAACTTGTGAAACAGGCTTGCCTCTAATGTCAGAAGTCAATTCATGTCATTTATTAGGGGTGACTATTGGTCTGGAAATCACTTCTGCGATAACTATTGATACTGCAAGCAAGTATTGCGATAAATAAATAGCGATAGTTTTCAGTGTATTATTCGAGATGGATTTTAGAGTTGAAATAAACCTTGGAACTGAAGTTTCCTTTGAATGTGATAACCATAACGACAAATAAAAAGTAAAGTTTGAGATAGGACTGATTTGTTTTTTCTTTACCCTAATAATTTAAGTAAAAGAAACTTCCACGTTACCATGTGTAAATTACTACCACTCACGATCAAAAGAAAAACAAATTTGAACAGCATTGCATGTACTTTATTGATATGGTAAATACAATCGAAACTATCGATATTCCTAAATGAAATCGATACTATTGATCGGAAACTGATTTAACAATTGATTTATTGACTTAAAGTGCTTACCATTAGCAATATATCAATATTTCGATTTATCGTGACACCCCTATCATTTATGCAGATGGTTTACAAGGACATTCATGTTCTCACTAAGTATGCAATTTTATCAGGTGATAAGGAGAAAAGATCCATTTGTGACTAAACCTCCAGTCTAAAGTCAGTGGTTTAGTCTCATTTAGCACTAGTCCTGTAGTCCTTGCCAAACTTCCCAAAAGTTAAGGTATCATATGGACTAGTAGAAATTTGACATTTTTAAGGGTGTTGCTATATGTTATCATTATAAGGACTTGTGGACTCAAAATGTTAGTTTCTACCGCTGGTAAGCCAAACTAATAAAAGCCAAAATGTTAATTTCAAAAGAAAAAATGCCACAGGCAAACTGGGAATAGTAGATGCAAATGTTTGGAATCTTGAAAGTCTCTTAATTTCGAACATGTTGAATACTGCCATGGATGATAATGAGAGTGAATCAACAACAGGATCATGACAGCTAAGGGATGTATGTTTTTACAGTTTGTTGCTACACCTCAACACCACTGTGTCCCCCTACTACTCTACAAAGCTCAAGTCATTTTTGTTTTGTTGGTAAGTTTCATAAATCAACTGACAAAACTAAATGCTTCTGAAAGTTTGCCACTTCCTCTTCATTCTGATTGATAAAGAACTTTCAATCACAGAACATACCGAATCTTCAGATAATTTTAAGAACAACACTGCAGGAAGCACATTCACATGTTCATTTCCTGAAATAAAGGGTAATATGTTGGGTTTTTTCTGAAGCCTTCTTGTGTTACTGTCAAGTAGAGTTTCATCAAAGTGATATGACAACAATAATGTTTGAAATATCAACATTTAAAATTACATGCAATCATGGTCATGCTGAAAATCTCTCAGGCAAAAGTGTTCCTTGAGACAAAGATTGTGAAACGTTCTTTACAGTCATGTCGTTTCAAGACATCACAACATGCTCTCTCACAGCCTGATGCCCAAAACTAATACACTTTTCCTGTAGTGATTTCTTTGTTGCTTAGCACCGCACTCAGCAATATTTCAGGTATATCTTGATGACAGCCTGTAAATAATCAAGTTTGGACCCAAACAAATTATTGATAACAGTAATGTCTCACGCTGTTCTGATACAATGACATACATTCAAACAAGCCACTGTGCCTAGCCTACAGTTCTCAATCCACCTTGTTGCCTCTTATGACAAGAAAAGGTTACTGGAGTCCTGTTCTAACCCGGACTGATGTGGGCAGAGGTAACTGGTACTAAATAGTGCTCATTTGCATTAACAGTACTCAGTAAAACCAGCAGATATTAAGACAAAAAAAACATAAGGAGGCTTATTTATTCAGAAATCTTAGGGATGTTTGGCTGCGGTACTTGAATCTAAGAATCCAAACAACATTTTCACTGACCCAATAACTTTCTCTTGTTTGATCATCAGCTACAGTACCTTAATCCAAGAATCTAAATAATTTTTAACTCATCCATCAACATTTTTGTAGTTTCCAAAAATGACTGCAAAGTTATGTCAGATGGCTGGCATTCATGTTCTCACTAAGTCTGTAAAATCATGTCATAAGGAGTAAAGATCCATACAGTCTGTGACTTAAACCACTAGTCAAAAGTCAGATTTGTTTTACATGTATTTCAACTTGTAAGCCTACCAAATAACAGTCTTCATATTCATTTTAAAATCGCAAATGAAAAAATGTGAACAGTGAATGGGGATGCTTTTGATGACTGGGACATATTTAACTATTTTCATACTTGTAATCTGTTAGATAATATACCAGTGCAAACCCCAAAATGACACAGAGAGCAAAATAATGTAATATACAACCAGAAATATGCGACATTGGTTGCACCCATACTATAACTATACTTAATCAATTTGGAATGGCTGGAATGCGCAAAAGATGCTGATAAAGTTAACACTTTCATCACAATGTTCAGTCAAAGGTTTTACATGTTACATGGTCATCTACTTTTTCTCATAAACCCTTCAAACCCTTTCAGCTTTGGAGACTGACAGTGAACACTGGTAGAACACATAATACATGATGGGATTTTATGGCAACACTGTTTACTAAAGCAGTTCCCGTTCACTGAGGACATATGGAAAATACAAAGACACACCAAAACATATCTAACTGTGATACCTTGATTTTCCTGTTTAATTTCGAACAATGCTTACCAACTCTGATTAACAATGAATATGATGAAAAAGATTGATAAAGTTTGTATAAACCAACCTATCAGCTGAAAATGTTCATACATGAATGAAAGTTGCAGTTCAAGATGTGTCAATCACAAACACAACACTTACTGAGTACTGTCTTCACGAAAATAAACACCTCTGTCTGTATGTCTAATTATTAATTTTGATATTAAACAAACAACCACATTTGAATTTGTGTTAGGAGTCACTTAAAAAGTATGCTCACTCATCTATTTATGGAAAGTGCCTGACGATGGCTACTGATCATCATTATTTCAGTGTATCTTTCTGTTTCATCACCGTGAACTCTGAGAATATGGACAAACAGGTGCAAAGAACCAGTCATATTAGTTTTTACATGCAAAAGAAGAATGATCTTTGCTTAGTCAAGTTCACGTTGGACGGGGAGTCAACCATCTGGACTTTTATCAACTAATGCATGTAACTGAAGTTATCATGGTTATGAATCAAAATGTACATAAAATATGCAGATACTTTTAAGCAGATACTCTTCTAAACTGCGGTTCCTTTGTGAACCTGAACTATAAGGTGTGCAGTCAAAGCTGACAGCTGTTTACCATGTAATGCCAGCTACATGTAACTGAAAACAGCAAAGAAACAGAGATATTACTATTGGGGCAATTGGTGACCAACTAATAATTATAATTTGTCAAAAGATAATAATGTATTTCACACAGACAATATTCATGAGCCCACCATATATTTTGTGTCAAAGGCCTTATACCCCACTGTTGACAACTTCCTTCATTGTTCCTGATTATTGTACCAAAGGGTATGGTTAGCAAATAAACAATATGATGGATCTGCATATGTGTAGTCTTTCCTGAAATGTCAAATCTCACACATACACCACTGAACCTTATATGTTCAAATGGACACATATAACACCTACTAGGTCTAAGTCTAGATCTATTGCTACACGTAAATACACACCAACAACATTTGACTTTTGAAGATGTCATTTTCTGTTTGCTTACACCTACTCACCTGTAGACTGAACCCATTTTAAAGTCAGGATCGATATGTCTCAGGTTCACTGACGTAATTAAATATACCAGTAATTAAACTAAAAATCGCTGCACGTGATATATGAGTCTACATTTGGCCACTTGTCCTTTTAACCCTGTATCATCTGGGCTCGTTATGTCAAATGACAGTTGTCAGATGGTGCAGTGAAGTGATTGTTCCTCAAATCGGACACTGGCGTGCAAAGAATATTCTACGCCTGTGACAATTTTCATAATTTATAAAAGGAAGTGGCAGTGGTTGATGGTAGATTTAATATTCATGAACAACTTACCAGACAGAGGCGAACTGGATCGATATGTTCTGAAAACACAACTGTGCTTCCGATCTCAAATGGGATGGGAACCTCTTCCACTCGAACGTCGAGATTGCATTCAACAAAATGGCTCTGTTGGAATTTTGCCTTTCATAAAATTATTGCTCAGTATTTACGAAAATTTTGATTGATTTGTAAAGGAATGCCGAAAAATTCGGTTTCCTCCCATCGAGTCATCATCAAAGATGGCGGAATGTTTTACGGAAATCTCGCATGATCTCGAAGGGAAAGATAGGCGTGCTAGTTGGTGTAAAACTAGTCATTTAGCACGTGTGGGTGCGATATGGCATTGGGGACCGTAAACACACCGCGAAACTTAGGATGGTATTAATCTAGTATTTTTACTTACTAGTGAAATAAATAGTTACTAGTGTACAGGGATTCTTCAAATTCTCACATCGAGTCCTTCCTGTGAGTTAGTGATGGAGTTAAAGCGTCTAAAAAGAAGAAAAAGGAGTTAAAACGTAAACTGTGATATTTTCAATTCGAAATTATTATTTTTGATCACTTACAATTTGAACATGATTTTGCAATTAATATAATGCCATTTAATGTGAAGTTGTGGGACAATATGTATATACACGCGATTAATGTTACACTAATAATCATTACTGACAATCGGATTTTTTTCAGTTTAAAAGTATTTAATAAACTGGTAATTACTTTGAAAACACCGATTAGTAAAATAACAACGCGCGTAGTTTGAGTTGAAACAAGACACAATTGTATTTAAATAAAGTTTTTGAAACCATTACGTAAACGGGCGTGACGGCAGACTCGACATATAGTTTTATACTGCATACATGGACTTTCATTCTCTCAGCTATTACACATAATTAGACATCTTATGGTGTTTCGGCGTTGAGCCATTGCCATGGGGATTTTATTAATGATAGTCATCTGCAATCTAAATCTTATTCAGAGTATAGGGCAAGCATGCAAATTTCTATATTGGGCCAACTTATATATTTTTATAAGTCACCTTGATATTACAAACCCATGTTATTGGCCTGTATTATATAACTCGTAGCCCTGATCTACAGTTGAATACATGCATGGTTCTATCTGTTCGTTTCAGCTACAAATAAGCAATACAAAATTGGTTTAATAAGATTACGTGCATGTTCAGGGCATACAGAAGCACACTGTTCGAATAAAACCATTCGTGTATATCCTTGGTGCATAAACGGATTATCTCTTTAGTTTTATAGCAAGAAAATATCGAATTGTTAATTCCACATCTGTGTGTCGTTGTACAAAACAACCTCAGCGCTACGACAGTAGTAAGTCTATGTTAAGGTATGCGAGTTACCATAACCTCAGCACTAAGGTCGCTTTGTACAACGGCACCCTGATGTTTACGAAGTCGTGACAAAACATTTACCGGGTTCGAATTTCATTTGACACACAGGTTTTTCATGAAATCACTCTATCATCAACTCAAGTGACAGAAACGCAGAATTCCCGTCATTTCCTCGCGTGCTTTATCTCTGTCAAGTCAGTCAAATCCCGTTGGAAAACAATGGATCCATGCTGTAAAATCCCATAAATACCATGTTACTCAACGTCTGGGTTTGGGAACAGAAATACTTGAAGCGCACATAAAATACTGAAAAGTCGACCATTTTTACCTTGGTATCCTACATATGGGGTGAGGTGGTGAGGTGAAATGGGGTTTAACGTCGCGTCCAATATTATTGCACTTATATAGCGACCCTACATATGGGAAATGTGATGTACGCATCCAGTCCTAAACAACGTGTTCAACACCATATATCAAACTGAGGCTTTCAACAGGACACAAAACAAAAACAATACGGAAAGCGGATTTCTTGTGACCGTATTTGTTCCAGATACAGGAAAGTAATATTTGTCCATAAGGATTTACCAGACAAATATACTGTTCGTTGAGCACGCTGCTGTTACTTGTGTTCTACAACCCATGCTTGTCGTAAGAGGCGACAAACGGGATCGGGTGGTCAGGCTCGCTGACTTGGTTGATGCATGTCATCGTATCCCAATTGCGTAGATCGATGCTCATGATGTCAATCACCGGGTTGTCTGGTCCCGACTTGAATATTATCAGACCGCCGTCACATAGCTGGAATAATGCTGAGTGCAGCGTTAAACAACAAACAAACAAACGTATCCATTCACATAAAACAGTTTATTTCAAGCAATACCCCATTTTTCCCACACCACCTCTCTAAATAATGAGAGGGAGAGAGAGGGAGAGAGAGAGAGAGAGAGAGAGAGAGAGAGAGAGAGAGAGAGAGAGAGAGAGAGAGAGGGGGGGGGGGGGGGGGGGGGGCGGCTAGTTGTAAGATTACCTGGGGATTCCAGGTTAGAATTGACCTCCGGCAACGTATGCTGGGCGTCTACATGGATGACTTGGATCGTTGCACTTAATATCAATCACTTGATTGCCTGGTCCAGACTCGATTATTTACAGGCCTCCGAATTTTCTGAGTCCAAAACACACACGACTGGTTGCACATAATTTAGAGCACGCAGGCGGTTAACTGTATCTGCATTGCGAGTAGTATTAACAACGAATATACAATCATGCCTTTAGAAATATGGTGCTGTTGTGTAAGCTTGCATGAGGATATGCTTTCACACCTATACAAGCATTCTCAACGCGCTACAGAATATAGAGTTCAAAAGACATGCACCAACTACTAGGTTATCCAGACTTTGAAATGAGTCCATCTTGGGGAATATCGTTTCAACTTTTATACATAACTTACGAAAGTTCCTGTGAAAACGAGTCAATAGTCACTATACAATTCCTATCACAGGGACGTTTACTCCCCACAATGCGTATCGTGTTTTGCTTACTGGGGTGTTATTGACGCTACACTGTATACGTCCGTGTATAAGTATGAATGGGAGATACGAGATAGGACGCTCCCATACGTTTTAAGGCAACGGGGCATGCAAGGAGACTTGCACAACATTTCACACAATTCAATTACTGTACCATAGACTGTTTTTATTATTACTTACGTATACATCCATAAGTACAGGCATATATTAGCTTTATTGTATATATCTGGTAAATCTAAGCGGTTTATTGGAAATCCCGTGACTTTCATAATGGCAAAACGACACGCCCTTAAACATTGTGTACACAAAAGAATTTCGAAATAGCGTAATGTCGCAACTGATGGTCATCAAACAGGTTTTTGTGTTAAAAGACTGGAAAAGATCTGGTGCTACTAGTTTAATATGTCATTAAAAATGAAACATGTATTGATCGGCGTGTTTACATGCAGAACGCCCACAATACTGAATATACACGTGCGGCTTGTGTTATTTGTATAAATATGATCGTGTGATGATTCCTGCTAAAGGGTTGTCCTCCCATTAAGAATATCACCGAATCATATATTTTATGCGCGTCTCATGCCAACATTAGACAACGAAAAATGCCAACGAAAAGAACATCCACATCAGGCAAAAAAAGAGATTATATATATATATATATATATATATATATATATATATATATATATATATATATATATATATATATATATAATCTTTCACTTCACTGCACTATCTGACAACTATTCGATTTTAATGTTTATTTCAAGCTTAATCCATTTCATTTGAGGAAATTAGCGACAGAAAGTGGTACATGTGTACCCGTCATTATACAAAGAAACGTTTGTTAAGCACAGTAGTATGTTGCTGTATCACTGTATATAAAACAGTATGTGTTTACGTTCGATTTTGCAATACGTTGAAAGGGTTGCGTAGGTGGAAACGATTAACATATATCTATTATGTTGAATGTCACGGACCTTCTAAACAGTTCATTGGAAGATAGTTTTGCGCGCACGTCGGTGCGTGTTCATCCGGGCATTCTGTCATAGCGCAACCAGAGTGGGAGAAGTATGTGGACGGACGTAGTTGAACTTGCGCATTGTCTCGTGTTAATTGCTTGACTTTTGTAATCAGTTTTTACTATTCATCAACTTGGTTTATTTATTTATGTGTATTGTATTTTCAGATTCTGGTGTATGAGAAATACTCGTAGAAGGAAGATTTCATCTAACATATTGGGACCAAGTTCCCCAGGGCGATTGCCAATTACAGTTTGCTTACAAATTTCTTCGCTCATTTTTAGCGTTTTTATGACGTTTGTGCGACCAGACGGTAAGTTTGATGTTTTTTAACTTACATTTAAGTCAGTTGTCGATTTAAATTGTCGTAGACATGTTCTATTATGATGAAATATGTTGAAATGTCGGCCATATTGCTCTGTGATATATCTGCGACACCAACACGTGGCGTAGGTGTTTGCCGTCGCTTGATTGCTACCAAAGTCTTCCTTTCAAGGATTGGTATTTTGTGATACGTCATTGACCATACATTGTCTAATAAGGCATCATAGTTAGCTATCATGAGAATTATTCATGATTTCACCTCTCGAACAAGGTCAGTATGAAACAATTTAACTAATTCAAACCTTGACATGCTGTTACAAAGTAAATTGAAATGTAACAACATACTTTGAGTGCAAGTATTTATGAGGGGGATCATGGTCGGACCAAGTGACTATCCTAGCAAGTCTTTCAGATAGCCCTTACGTTTGGATCTATAGACGTATAATAATCTACTAATTGCACACTGAAATGGTGCGTGTGGGTTCACTCATGGCACTTATTTAAATGTCTGGACCTAGACTGGAAATGGCTAGCACACTGAGCATAGTTCCCCATTTAATTAGTTATTACCAACTAAAGTATCATTTACAGTCACTTCTTGACTCAAGTCTAGTTGACAGTGTGTCATCTTACCCCAATGGCGTGATTTGTTACTCATAATCTCAATATCTGGATTGTCTGGTTAAGATTAATTGCTTACAGTCTGCCGTCATACAGCTTTAATATTGTCATGTGCTGTGTTAATCAAATACACATTTACAGGCCTATAGCCAACTAGGTCTAATGATTATGCTAACCATAGGACTAGTAGATAGACTAACATCTAGTCTCTGAAATGAACATATATACAATGGCATGGGCTGTTTCAGATATATTTGTTTAAGGGCAAGATTTGTAGCATATCAAGAAGGATTGTCATGTTGATAGAAAGGTTGACACTCCTGTGGGGGATCTAGTTTCTAGTTCTGATTTGATCATTTACAGGCTGTTGTGATATTGCTGAAATATTGCTGACTGTTGCGTAACAACAAACATCAGGCAAA